ATGCTTCACTTTTTTCGATTTTTAGATTTTTCAATTTTTCCATTTTTCGTTATTTGAATTTTTCAATTTTTAAAATAAATAAATAATATTTTTCGCTTTTTCAATTTTTCAGTTCTTCAATATTTCTATTTCTCAATTTTTCGAATTTTTAACTTTTCCATTTTTCGATTTTTGTTTGATTAAAGTTTGATTAGTTTATAAATACGGACATAAACGGTGTATTGTTGGTTGCATAACTTAAATCCGCGTAATTGGCGCAGCCGCTAGCAACATTAAAATAATAAAATAAGGGTTGTGAACATGTAAACCGGGTTACTCCAAGTTCCTTTGATCTCACGTTTTCAATAAAAAAATTAATATTTCAAAAGTATTTCCGTCTGTTCAGATTGAATTTTTTTCGTCCGTTTTTAAATTGAAAAAATATTGACGGAACACGTCGACGTTTAGTTTCACTTTAATGGCTAATTTTCCATGTTTCGATTCTTTAATTTCCCGATTTTCAAATTTTGGATTTCTCGTTTTTTTCATTTTTCCATTTTTCAATTTCCCAATTTATCGATTCTTCAATTTTTCGATTTTTCAATTTTCCAATTTTTGACGTTTCTAAATTTTGGATTTTTCAATTTCTCGATTAATCGACTTTTTCGTTTCTCAGCTTTTCGATTTCCCAACTTTTCGATCTCCCGATTTTTCAGTTTTTCCATTTTTCGACTTTCCGATTGCTTCATTTTTCAATTTTTCGACGTTTCAGTTTGGATATTTTTCAGTTTTTCAATTCTTCCATTTTTCCTCGATTTTGAATTTCTCGATTTTCAATTTTTCGGTTCCTTAATTTCTCCGTCTTCAAATTTTCGATTTCGCGATTTTTTAATTTTTCGATTTCTCAAGTTTCCGATGTTTCTGTTTTACGATTTTCCGTTTTACGGATTTTTCAATATTTCAATTTTTGACGGTTTTTCAATTTTTCAATTTTTGACGCTTCTAAATTTTCGATTTCCCAACTTTTCGATCTCCCGATTTTTCAATTTTTCCATTTTTCGACTTTCCGATTCTTTGATTTCTCAATTTCTCGATGTTTTAGTTTTATAATTTTCCGATTTATCGATTCTTCAATTTTTCAATTTTTGACATCTCTAAATTTTCGATTTTTCGATTTCTCGTTTTCTCGATTAATCGACTTTTTGGTTTTTCTACTTTTTGATTTTCTAACTTCTCGATTTCCCGATTTTTCAGTTTTTCAATTTTTCCATTTTTCTAGCTTCACACTTCTCAATTTTTCAAATTTTCGAAGTTTCAGTTTTGGGTTTTTTCAGTTTTTCAACTCTTCAATTTTTCAATTTCTCGAGTTTCAATTTTTCGATTTTCCGATTTTCAATTTTTCGATATTTCAGTATTGAGATTTTCCAATTTTTCTGTTCTTTAATTTCTCGATCTTCAAATTTTCAACTTCTCGTTTTTTTTTTTTCATTCTTTGATTTCTCAATTTCCCAATATTGCAGTTTTACGACTTTACGATTCATCGATTCTTCATTTTTTAGATTTTTCAATTTTTCAATTTTTGACATTTCTAAATTTTTCGATGCTTCACTTTTGGGATTTTTCAATATTGATTTCTTCAAATTTGTCGATTTTTCAATTTTTGAAGTTTTCGATCTTTAGATTTTTCAATTTTCCAATTTTTGACGTTTCTAAATTTTCGATTTTTCAATTTCTCGATTAATCGACTTTTTCGTGTCACAGCTATTCGATTTCCCAACTTTTTGATCTCCAGATTTTTCAATTTTTTCATTTTTCGAATTTCCGATTACTTGAATTTTCAATTTTTCGACGTTTCAGTTTGGATATTTTTCAGTTTTTCAATTCTTCCGTTTTTCCTCGATTTTGAATTTCTCGATTTTCAATTATTCGGTTTCTTGATTTCTCTATCTTCAAATTTTCGTTTTCATCAATTTTTTAATTTTTCGATTTCTCAAGTTTCCGATGTTTCTGTTTTACGATTTTCCATTTTATGGATTTTTCAATATTTCAATTTTTGACGGTTTTTGAATTTTTCAATTTTTGACGCATCTAAATTTTCGATTTTTCAATTTCTCGATCACCCGATTTTTCAGTTTTTCAATTCTTCAATTTTTCCATTTTTCGATTACTCAATTTTTCGATATTTCAGTGCCGGAATTTTTCACTGTTGCGATTAATTAATTTCTCGATGTTTCAGTTTGATGATTTTCCGATTTATCGATTCTTCAATTTTTCAATTTTGGACATTTCTAAATTTTCGATTTTTCAATTTCTTATTTCCTCGATTAATCGACTTTTCGTTTTTTCTACTTTTTGATTTCCTAACTTCTCGATTTCCCGGTTTTTCAGTTTTTCAATTTTTCCATTTTTCTAGCTTCACACTTCTCAATTTTTCAAATTTTCGAAGTTTCAGTTTTGAAATTTTTCAGTTTTTCAACCCTTGAATTTTTCTTCGATTTTTCAATTTCTCGAGTTTCAATTTTTCGATTTTCCGATTTTCAATTTTTCGATATTTCAGTATTGAGACTTTTCAATTTTTCGGTTCTTTAATTTCCAGATCTTCAAATTTTCGACTTCTCGTTTTTTTTCATTCTTTGATTAATCAATTTCCCAATGTTGCAGTTTTACGATTTTACGATTCATCGATTCTTCGTTTTTTAGATTTTTCAATTTTTCATTTTTTGACATTTCTAAATTTTTCGATGCTTCACTTTTTAGATTTTTCAATTTTCCAAATTTTGACGTTTCTAAATTTTCGATTTTTCAGTTTCTCGATTAATCGACTTTTTCGTTTCTCAGCTTTTCGATTTCCCAACTTTTCGATCTCCCGATTTTTCAGTTTTTCCATTTTTCGACTTTGCGATTCCTTGATTTTTTAATTTTTCGACGTTTCAGTTTGGATATTTCTCAGTTTTTCAATTTTTCCATTTTTCCTCGATTTTGAATTTCTCGATATTCAATTTTTCGATTCCTTAATTTCTCTATCTTCAAATTTTCGATTTCGCGATTTTTTAATTTTTCGATTTCTCAAGTTTCCGATGTTTCTGTTTTACGATTTTCCATTTTATGAATTTTTCAATATTTCAATTTTTGACGCTTCTAAATTTTCGATTTTTCAATTTCTCGATCTCCCGATTTTTCAGTTTTTCAATTCTTCAATTTTTCCATTTTTCGTTTATTCAATTTTTCGATATTTCAGTGTCGGAATTTTTCACTGTTGCGATTATTTAATTTCTCGATCTTTAAATTTTCAATTTCTCGTTTTTTTTTCATTTCTCGATTTCGCAATTTCTCGATGTTTCAGTTTTATGATTTTCCGATTTATCGTTTCTTCAATTTTTCAATTTTTGACATTTCTAAATTTTCGATTTTTCGATTTCTCGTTTCCTCGATTAATCGACTTTTTGGTTTTTCTACTTTTTGATTTCCTAACTTCTTGATTTCCCGAGTTTATAGTTTTTCAATTTTTCCATTTTTCTACCTTCACACTTCTCACTTTTTTAAATTTTCGAAGTTTCAGTTTTGGGATTTTTCAGTGTTTCAATTCTTCAATTTTTGCTCGATTTTGAATTTCTCGATCTTCAATTTTTCAGTTCCTTAATTTCTGTATCTTCAAATTTTCGATTTCTCGATTTTTTAATTTTTCGATTTCTCAAGTTTCCGATGTTTCTGTGTTACGATTTTCCGTTTTATGGATTTTTCAATTTTTCAATTTTTGACGCTTCTAAATTTTCGATTTTTCAAGTTCTCGATCTCCCGATTTTTCAGTTTTTCAATTCTTCAATTTTTCCATTTTTCGATTATTCAATTTTTCGATATTTCAGTGTCAACATTTTTCACTGTTGCGATTATTTAATTTCTCGATCTTTAAATTTTCAATTTCTGTTTTTTTTTTCATTTCTCGATTTCTCAATTTCTCGATGTTTCAGTTTTATGATTTTTCGATTTATCGATTCTTCAATTTTTCAATTTTTGACATTTCTAAATTTTCGATTTCTCGTTTCCTCGATTAATCAATCAACTTATTGGTTTTACTACTTTTTAATTTCCTAACTTCTCGATTTCCCGATTTTTCAGTTTTTCAATTTTTCCATTTTTTTGCTCAATTTTTCAAATTTTCGAAGTTTCAATTTTGGGATTTTTCAGTTTTTCAACTCTTCAATTTTTCTTCGATTTTTCAATTTCTCGAGTTTTAATTTTTCGGTTCTTTAATTTCTCAATCTTCAAATTTTCAACTTCTTTTTTTTTTCATTCTTTGATTTCTCAATTTCCCAATATTGCAGTTTTGCGATTTTACGATTCATCGATTCTTCATTTTTTCGATTTTTCAATTTTTCAATTTTTGACATTTCTAAATTTTTCGATGCTTCACTTTTTTCGATTTTTAGATTTTTCAATTTTTCCATTTTTCGATATTTGAATTTTTCAATATTTAAAATAAGTAAATAATATTTTTCGCTTTCTCAATTATTCAGTTCTTCAATATTTCTATTTCTCAATTTTTTGAATTTTTAACTTTTCCATTTTTCGATTTTGGGCTAAAGTTTGATTAGTTTATAAATACGGACAAAAACGGTGTATTGTTGGTTGCATAACTTAAATCCGCGTAATTGGCGCAGTCGCTAGCAACATTAAAATAATAAAATAATAATAAGGCTTATAAAAATGTAAACCGGGTTACTACAAGTTCCTTTGATCTCACGTTTTCAATAAAAAAAATTATTATTTCAAAAGTATTTCCGTCTGTTCAGATTGAATTTCTTTAGTCCGTTTTTAAATTGAAAAAAAATTGACGCAACACGTCGATGTTTAGTTTCACTTTAATAGCTAATTTTCGAGTTTATGATCGTTATTAAAAACCGTTGTAAGTACTAAACAAATAACTAACAAACAATAAAGCAATTAACGTGGGGGCGAATCTTGCAAACAAACTATAAAAAGATAACACTCGACCCAATCAATAATCTTTTCATTATTCGCAGTGGATGGTAGCTACTGGAAAACGCAATGTTCCCTCGGACCGCCACGAAGACTGAGGACTCTAAAAATTTCCCTTCACTTTTTCTCCTGGTTTTAAGTTTGCCCCTTCTCACGACTTCCCAAAATGGTAAACACGTTTAATCAATATCACCAACGCAATTTCTGCCTCTGAAAGAATTGCACAATTTAAAAACGACTTTCAAATCTTGATTAAAAGTTAAATGACCATTTAAACTTGATTACATTCCGTCGCACTAATTGTGCATTCATAATGCAAGGTCGAAACATTCATTTTTAGCCGACGCCGTCTTGGACTTGATCGAGGAGACCAACCTTTGGGAGGAACCACAAGGAATTATGCGAATTTTGGGTCGTTGTTTTAATAATACTGATGTTGTCACACCTTTGAAGTCGGATTGGGCGTACCGGTTTAACGAGAATCAAATCTCTTTGAGTAGTAATGAAGTCTTCCCTCAAGGATTTCCCACGGATTTTTCGCTATTGACGGTAGTTAGACCTACGCCTGGACACATTTACCCGTTGTTGACTATTTATAGTGAGGATGGACAAGAACAAGTCGCTGTTGCAGTCGGGAGCGACGTCACGTTTTACTACTTTGATGTGGACGAGCCCGTCGAGTTCGGACTAGCTTTGGATGACGGGGAGTAGGTGAAGACGCAGTTTCTTCATTTACCAACATTTGATTTTTGTTAACATTTGTCCAGGTGGCATCGATTGTCCTTCAGCGTTAAGGGAGATTCGGTGACTTTGATTCATGAGTGTAACGAAACTATAACTAAAGCGCTGGAAAGAGAAACGTCGCGGCTGAACACCAATGGGATCACGTTGATTGGGTTCGAACTGACCAATGAGGAATACTATAATGTAACTACCCTTGGGTACCCTCCAATCAAACTTAACGAAATTGTTCCAGGGTGACATACAACTACTCCAAATAGCACCAACCCCAGACGAAGCCTATGAAATGTGCAACAAAACCCCCAATTGTGGTCTCCTTTTAAGCCAAAGATCTTCTTTCCCAGTCACCGAATCATCGTCAACGTACCTTTACACCTCCACGGTCAACCAATTCAACGAACTAGATTCCAATTACTCACTGTCAGTACCTCACAGAGGCGACATCAACGAATACGACGAAGAAAATTTCGACTTTGGTGCAAATTCGACCTTCAATGGCGATTTTGATAACACAACAGATACTGAATCCACCACACTGATCAACATCCCTGTGTACTACCCATACCGGGGACCTCCAGGACCCAGAGGGTACACCGGACCGCCGGGCCCTCCAGGCCCGCCCGGTCCCAAGGGAGATTCTGGAAGAGACGGCCTATCAGGGGTCCACGGTCAGCCGGGACCCCCCGGCCACGTCTTCCTCGTGCCGGTAACTACTCACCCCCTCACTCCCCCAAGCCTCACTTTAATCATTCCAGCTGAACATGCAAGGGAACGAAAAAGGTCCAGACACCCATGCCGAAAACTTCCGCCAACTCCTATCCCAACACATGGTAATGACCACAGAGTACATTTTCTTATACCTAACAGTTATTTGAAACGATGTTAAAGATGTCGATGCGAGGGATTGAGGGCCCGATGGGTTTGACGGGAGTCCCAGGTTCCCAAGGTCCTCCGGGTCCCGAAGGCAACAAGGGCGAGCCTGGGGATATCGGCGAACCGGGACCGCTTGGAATGAGAGGGTCACCGGGAAGTAGTGGCCGACAGGGACGCAGAGGCCGTCCGGGGACTGACGGGGAGAGGGGTCTGACCGGACACCCAGGTCTCAAAGGGGAGCAAGGCTTGATCGGGCTGCCGGGACTCCCGGGAGACAAAGGGGAGAGAGGCGTCCCGGGAGCTGTCGGGGAACCCGGGTTACGCGGCCACGACGGCATGCAAGGAGAAGAGGGTCCTCCGGGTTTGCCTGGTGTACCCGGAGAAATGGGTCCGCGAGGTTTTTCAGGTCCTAGGGGCATTCCAGGAGTGCCGGGCCCCCCTGGAATACCCGGAGTGGAAGGCCCGCCGGGGAGCAAGGGCCATCCGGGACCATCTGGACAGCCAGGGTCACCAGGACAGTCGGGGCCTCAAGGAGCAGTAGGACCACCAGGACCACAAGGACTGCTAGGCCCACCAGGACCCATGGTGCGTTGACATAAATAAAACCACAGTAACTCAATTAATATCCATAGGGACCACACGGTAAACCAGGTATTCCGGGCTTGCCGGGCTCCGAAGGTTTACCAGGAAACCCCGGCAACCCAGGTCCTCCAGGAACGAAAGGTGAACAAGGACCGATCGGATACTCGGGACCTATCGGATTTCCAGGTGCCCGTGGCGTCAAAGGTGACGATGGAAAACGCGGCCCACCTGGCGACAAAGGTGATAAAGGGGACAAAGGTCTAGAAGGCGAAAAAGGGGAGCCAGGTCCGAAAGGAGAAATCGGGATTGTGGGAATGCCAGGAATTCCGGGACTAGAGGGGCCCGAAGGACCTAAAGTACCGGCACGACACACTTTGTATGCCATATATTACACGATAATCGTAGGGTTTTGATGGTCCTCGGGGAGAAACAGGAGTCGTCGGACCACCCGGCGAAAAAGGCAAAGACGGACTCGCAGGTCTTCCCGGCTATCCAGGATCCGCGGGTGAAAAAGGCGACAAAGGTGCGACAGGACGTTTCGGAGAGCCCGGTGAAAAAGGAGAACGAGTTAGTATTTCATTTTCAACATAATCCATCACATTCAAAGTAGGGCAACACAGGTAACCCAGGTGAAAGGGGTGAAACCGGACCTAGAGGGTTCCGCGGATCTAGAGGCCGAAGAGGACGGGAGGGTCTACAAGGACCTAAAGGAGACACCGGACAACCTGGGTCTCCTGGTCCGCAGGGTGAAATTGGCCCTCCTGGTGCAGAAGGATCTCGTGGATTCACCGGACAACCGGGTCCTCCGGGTCCTAATGGCAAGGATGGAATTACTGGACCTCCAGGAGAACGCGGACCTCCTGTAAGCTCTCATTGTCAATTTATAATAAATACTAATTTCGAGTAGGGTGAACCAGGATCACCGGGTTCAGTAGGCGCTCCTGGCGTGATTGGCCCGCCGGGACCCACCGGAGAAATCGGACCGGTTGGTGAATCAGGACCTCCGGGACTACCCGGGGTGCCGGGTGAGCCAGGAATACCTGGTGACTCTGGAAAGGAAGGGCCACCGGGAGCGCTAGGACCGGAAGGTAAACCAGGACCGCCGGGTCCAACCGGCCTGCCCGGTTTTCCAGGAGAAAGAGGAACAAACGGACTTCCAGTATGTTTGTCGAATTTTTTAACACTGTATATAAGACAGTCGTTTCTAGGGGATGCCAGGTCTCAAAGGAGAAACGGGACCTTCAGGACTGCCTGGACCTGCAGGTGACAAAGGACAGCAAGGCGACCCCGGAACCGACGGTCCGAAAGGACCGGAAGGTCGAAGAGGTCCTCCGGGTTCTCCTGGCGCCGGAGGCGCCAAAGGAGAAAGGGGCGATGCAGGTCCTCCAGGTCCCTCTGGTAGAGACGGACTACCCGGATCACGCGGTTTACCGGGAGCACCGGGCCCAGTAGGCCCCCCTGGTGAAGACGGAGATAAAGGGGACACCGGACCTCCGGGCGAAAAAGGGTTTAAAGGCAGTCAAGGGGAGACGGGACCACCTGGTAGTCTAGGCCCACCCGGTCCACGAGGCGAACCCGGCGCGCTCGGACCCCCCGGAGAAAGAGGTCATCCGGGAGAAATAGGAAGACAAGGAAGCAAAGGCGAAGATGGACCTACCGGTCTACCAGGACCCGCGGGACCAGCAGGTTTGCAAGGATTACCAGGACCACCGGGAATGAAAGGGGAAGTAGGCGACATTGGTCAGAAGGGACCGGTAGGTCCGGCTGGGTCACCCGGGGAAATTGGACCCAGAGGATCGAAAGGTGCCGACGGAGTACCCGGACTACCCGGACCTGACGGTCCATCAGGTGCTAAAGGCGATGCGGGACCACAAGGACTACCCGGACCTCCGGGTATTGACGGAAAACCTGTAAGTATCTCAAAGTTGAAAATTAAATCACGTATTTGTATAAGGGCGAACGAGGTCCTCAAGGACTAAAAGGCGACGACGGGAAACAAGGGATACAAGGCCCGTCGGGTCCGAGAGGACCCCCGGGTGTGGAAGGCCCGAAAGGCTCGCTAGGTCCTGAAGGTTTCCCCGGACCACCTGGTGAACCAGGAATCATGGGACCGAAAGGAGACCCTGGCAAAGACGGCGAAGAGGGGAAACAAGGAGAGCAGGGTTTACCGGGTAATCCGGGGCCGGCAGGCCCCTTAGGACCTCCCGGAGCACAAGGAAAACCAGTAAGACTCTACTTTGTGGTATTTGTGATCTTCACGTCACTCGTAGGGACAAGAAGGTCCAGCCGGAGTCCAAGGAAACACGGGACTTCCAGGCGAAAAAGGTGACACGGGACCAGTGGGGTCCCTCGGGCCTCAAGGATCCCCGGGACCGCAAGGCGTGCCTGGGTCTCAAGGACCTCCGGGTTTGCGCGGTGGCGCCGGACCAGCGGGCGAAAACGGACCGCCTGGTGCCAGCGGCCAACCCGGACTTCCGGGAAAGACTGGCGACGTGGGTCCTAGAGGTCCGAAAGGTGACAGGGGAAGGCGCGGGCCGAAGGGTCACCGTGGCGAGATGGGGATGGCTGGGATTAAGGGCGACATGGGCGAAAAGGGGGAGCGAGGACCCAAAGGTCCACCAGGACCGGAAGGTCGGAAAGGAGATATGGTAAGAACTGTAGAGTTATAGAACTGTAAACAGTGAGGGTTTTAGGGCCCCGTGGGCCCGATTGGAATGAAAGGTAACGATGGCCCTTCCGGACTACCTGGACTGGAAGGGCCAACGGGTCTTAAAGGTTCTGAGGGACAAACGGGAGTGAAAGGTGAAGCCGGACCGCCTGGTCCCCCTGGGCCGCCAGGACCACCGGCTGAAATGCCCTTATTACCGCCTGAAATGTTATTCGAACAGGAATATAACAGAGCGAAACGAGACTTAGAGGATTTGATGTAAGTTAGGACACATTTTAGTACCAAACTACATTATAATTTAGAACGGAATACGAAGACACGGTGGACAACAAAGGTTCAAACAATGACGCAACCGAAGGAGAGAATGACGTAAATAGTCGATTCTTGGATATGTACTCCACCATCTACGGTATGCGACAAGACCTGGAAAAAGTGCGAAAACCCCTCGGTACTAGAGAAAACCCAGCCCGATCTTGCCGGGACTTGTATTTCGGGCATCCACACTTCTCTGACGGTACAAATCAAGTAACAGTTGCCACAATGACTCAATTTTTTTTTTGGTAGGGTGGTACTGGATTGACCCGAATTCCGGTATGATCGACGACGCGATTTACGTTTTTTGTAACATGACCGCGCAAGGTGAGACCTGCGTGTTTCCGGATATCCACAGCGCTACCATGCCCAACATCCCCTGGCGGAAAGAAGGCAACAAAAACGATTGGTACTCGAGGCTCAGGGGTGGTTTTAGGGTAACTACGTCTATTTTGAAGGAACTTGAATCACTCTAGTTTTCAGATTACGTACGAAACGGTGGGGGTTGTACAGATGACCTTCTTGCGACTTTTGTACCAGGAGGCGTACCAGAACTTTACGTACACGTGTGTCAATAGCGCCGCTTGGTTCAACACGAAGACGAACTCTTATGATATGTCGGTCAAGTTTAGGGGGGAGAATGAGTACGAATTTTCGTATGGGAAAACTAGACCTAGGGTTATTGGTGATGGGTGCCAGACGAGAAAAGACACGAGTGAAACCAGCTTTGAAATAAGGACGAAGAAGTTGGAACGACTTCCAATTGTGGATTTTTTCCCGGTGGATTATGGATTGCCTAATCAAGCTTTTGGGTTCACTATAGGACCCATTTGTTTGAAGTAAATAATCATAGTAACGATAGATTTAACAATGTACTCTTATTTTATGTAGCGATGTCACAGCGCCTTAAGATTATTTTAGTACTAAGAAGCGAACGTGTAAATACCTTACAACACTGCCATCTACTTTGATAGGTTAAGTACGACTATATTTAAGTATAATGTACAGATTTTAAAATAAAACACTTGGTAAACGTAAGTTATCTTTTTATTCGATCTCTCCGGTTTTTCAATTTTCCAATTTATCAGTTTTTCGATTTTTCAACTTTTTTTGATTTCTCAATTTTTCAATTTATTTTATTTTTAAAAATTTTTCCATGTTTAACTTTTCGATTTTGTGCTATTTAAGTTTCTCAATTTTTTGATTTCTCGACGTTTGGATTCTTCGACTTTCAAATTTTTCGATTCTTCAATTTTTGGATATTTTAATTTTTAAATTATTTAAATTTTAGAATTTTCTAATTCTCGAGTTTCCAGAATTTCGATTTTTCCCATTTTTCGTCGTTTCAGTTTTGAAATTTTGTTTTCTCAATTTTTCAGTTTTTTGATTTTTCGACTTTTCTCTGATTTCTCGATTTTTCAATTTTTCAAATTGTTAAATTTTAGATTTTTCAATTATGTACTCAATTTATCGAGATTTCGATGTTTCGATTGCTCAATTTCTCGATTTTTCGATTTATTTTAATTTTTAAAATTTTTCCATGTTAAACTTTTCGATTTTGGGCTATTTAAGTTTCCCAATTTTTCAATTTTTTGATTTTTCGATTTCTCGATGTTTCGACTTTTCGAATTTTTCAATTTTTTGATTCGATTCTTCAGCTTTCAAATTTTTCGATTCTTCAATTTTTGGATATTTTAATTTTTAAATTATTTAAAATTTAGAATTTTCTAATTCTCGAGTTTTCGGAATTTCGATTTTTCCAATTTTTCGTCGTTTCAGTTTTGAAATTTTGTTTTCTCAATTTTTCAGTTTTTCGATTTTTCGACTTTTCTTTGATTTCTCGATTTTTCAATTTTTCAAATTGTTAAATTTTAGATTTTTCAATTATGTACTCAATTTATCGAGATTTCGATGTTTCGGTTGCTCAATTTCTCGATTTTTCGATTTATTTTAATTTTTTAAATTTTTTCATGTTAAACTTTTCGATTTTGGACTATTTAAGTTTCCCAATTTTTCACTTTTTTGATTTTTCGATTTCTCGATGTTTCGACTTTTCGAATTTTTCAATTTTTTGATTCGATTCTTCGACTTTCAAATTTTTCGATTCTTCAATTTTTGGATATTTTAATTTTTAAATTATTTAAATTTTAGAATTTTCTAATTCTCGAGTTTTCGGTATTTCGATTTTTCGATTTTTTTTTAATTTTAAATTCTTCATTTTTCAATTTTTAACTTTTCGATTTCTTCATCTTTTGACGATTTCGATCTCTCGATGTTTCAGTTTTTCAATGTTTTGATTTATTTTGATTTTTTCAATTTTTCAATATTTAACTTTTCGATTTTGGGCTATTTAAATTTCTCAATTCTTCGATTTTTTGACTTTTCGATTTCTTGGTGATGTTTCGATTTTTCAGTTTCTCGATTTTTCACTTTTTCAATTTTTCGAGATTTCAGTGTTTGGATTGTTCTATTTTTTCTTTTTTATTTTACAGTTTCCAATTTTAACTTTTCGTTTTTTCAATTTTAATTTTTCATTTTCCCAATTTTTCGTCATTTCAGTGTTGGGATTTTTCAATTCTACGATTTGTCAGTTTATTGCATGTTCGTCTTTTCAATTTTTCGATATTTTAATTTTTAAATTATTTAAAATTTAAATTTTGGGATTTCTCGATTTTTGGGTTTTTCAAAATTTCTATTTTTCAATTTTTCATATTTTCGAATTCTCGAGATATGGATATTCGATTTTTCAATTTTTTTTAATTCTACATTTTTCAATTTTTAACATTCCGTTTTTGCCATTTCGACTTCTGGACCTTTTGATGTTCCGATTTTTCAATTTTCCGATTTCCCAATTTTTCGTCATAGCAGTGTGGAAAGTTTTCAATTCCTCGATTTTTCGACTTCTCGATTTTTCAATTTTTTCAGTTTGTGATTTCTTGGTTTTTCGGCTTCTTGATTTTTTTCAATTTTTCTATTTTTAAATTTTAGATTTTTTAATTTTTTATGGTTTCGATTTCTCGATTTTCCAATTTTTCAATTTTTCGAATTTTTAAATTTTTTATTTTACGTTTTTTGATGTTTCGATTTCTTGACATCTCGGTTTTTCGATTTTTCAAATTTCTCGATTTCAATTTTGGGAATTTTTCAATTTCTGGAGTTTTCAATATTTCGATTGCTGAATCTTTTTAAAAAATTTTATTTTTCGATATTTCAGTTCTTCGATATTTTTATTTTTCAATTTATCGAATTTTTAAATTTTTGATTTCTCAGATTTTCTAATTCTCGAGATATGGATATTCCGATTTTTCATTTTTTTTTCTACATTTTTCAATTTTTAACTTTTCGTTTTCGCCATTTTGGGTCATTTCGATTTCAGGTTTTCGATTTTTCGGCTTCTCAACAGTTAGATTTCTGGATCTTTTGATGTTTCGACTTTTCAATTTTCGATTTCCCAATTTTTAGTCATTTAAAAATTTTTCAATTTGTTTATTCGATTCTTCGACTTTCAAATTTTTCGATTCTTCAATTTTTGGATATTTTAATTTTTAATTTATTTAAATTCTAGAATTTTCCAATTCTCAAGTTTTCGGTATTTCGATTTTTCGATTTTTTTTTTAATTTTAAATTCTTCATTTTTCAATTTTTAACTTTTCGATTTCTTCATCTTTTGACGATTTCGATCTCTCGATATTTCAGTTTTTCAATTTTTGATTTATATTATTTTTTTCAATTTTTCAATACTTAACTTTTCGGTTTTGGGCTATTTCACTTTTTCAATTTTTCGAGATTTCAATGTTTGGATTGTTCTATTTTTTCTTTTTTATTTTACAGTTTTCAATTTTAACTTTTCGTTTTTTTTTAATTTTTCGTCATTTCAGTGCTGGGATTTTTCAATTCCACGATTTTTCAGTTTTTGAATTTTCGTCTTTTCAATTTTTCGATATTTTAATTTTTAAATTATTTAAAATTTAAATTTTGGGATTTCTGGACCTTTTGATGTTTCGATTTTTCAATTTTCCGATTTCCCAATTTTTCGCGATATCAGTGTGGAAAATTTTCAATTCCTCGATGTTTCGACTTCTCGACTTTCGAATTTTTGATTAAAGTTTTTTTGACTTTTCGATTTTTGGATTTTTAAAATTTTTCATTTTCCGATTTTACGTTTTTGATGTTTCGATTTCTTGACATCTCGGTTTTTTGATTTTTCAAATTTCTCGATTTCAATTTTGGGAAATTTTCAATTTCTGGAATTTTCAATATTTCGATTGCTGAATCTTTTTAAAATTTTTGATTTTTCGACGTTTCAGTTCTTCGATATTTTTATTTTTCAATTTATCGAATTTTTAAATTTTTGATTTCCCAGATTTTCGAATTCTCGATATATGAATATTTCGATTTTCATTTTTTTTTTCTACATTTTTCAATTTTTAATTTTTCGTTTTCGCCATTTTGGGTCATTTCGATTTCAGTTTTTCGATGTTTCGGCTTCTCAACAGTTAGATTTCTGGATCTTTTGATGTTTAGACTTTTCAATTTTTCGATTTCCCAATTTTTAGTCATTTAAAAATTTTTCAATTTGTTTATTCGATTCTTTGACATTCAAATTTTTCGATTCTTCAATTTTTGGATATTTTAATTTTTAAGTTATTTAAATTCTAGAATTTTCTAATTCTCAAGTTTTCGGTATTTCGGTTTTTCGATTTTTTTTTAATTTTAAATTCTTCATTTTTCAATTTTTAACTTTTCGATTTCTTGATCTTTTTTGATTTATTTTAATTTTTTCAATTTTTCAATATTTAACTTTTCGATTTTGGGCTATTTAGTTTCTCAATTTTTCAATTTTTTGACTTTTCGATTTCTTGGTGGTTTCGATTTTTCAGTTTCTCGATTTTTCATTTTTTCAATTTTTCGAGATTTCAATGTTTGGATTGTTCTATTTTTTCTTTTTTATTTTACAGTTTTCAATTTTAACTTTTCGTTTTTTCAATTTTAGATTTTTCATTTTCCCAATTTTTCGTCATTTCAGTGTTGAGATTTTTCAATTCTACGATTTTCCAGTTTTTCGATTTTTCGTCTTTTCAATTTTTCGATATTTTAATTTTTAAACTATTTAAAATTTAAATTTTGGGATTTCTCGATTTTTCAGTTCTTCAAAATTTCAATTTTTCAGTTTATGGAATGTCTAAATCTTCAATTTTTCATATTTTCGAATTCTCGAGATATGGATATTCGATTTTTCAAATTTTTTTTTAATTATACATTTTTCAATTTTTAACATTCAGTTTTTGCCATTTCGATTTCTGGACCTTTTGATGTTTCGATTTTTCAATTTTCCGATTTCCCAATTTTTCGTCATAGCAGTATGGAAAGTTTTCAATTCCTCGATTTTTCGACTTCTGGTTTTTTCAATTTTTTCAGTTTGTGATTTCTTGGTTTTTCGACTTCTTGATTTTTTTCAATTTTTCTAATTTTAAATTTTAGATTTTTAATTTTTTATGGTTTCGATTTCTCGATTTTACAATTTTCCAATTTTTCGAATTTTTGATTAAAGTTTTTTTGACTTTTCAATATTTAGATTTTTAAAATTTTTCATTTTCCGATTTTACATTTTTTCATGTTTCGATTTCTTGACATCTCGGTTTTTCGATTTTTCAAATTTATCAATTTCAATTTTGGGAAATTTTCAATTTCTGGAATTTTCAATATTTCGATTGCTGAATCTTTTTAAAATTTTCGATTGCTGAATCTTTGTAAAATTTTTGATTTTTCGATGTTTCAGTTCTTCGATATTTTTATTTTTCAATTTATCGAATTTTCAAATTTTTGATTTCCCAGATTTTCGAATTCTCGAGATATGGATATTCGGTTTTTCATTTTTTTTTTTCTACATTTTTCAATTTTTAACTTTTCGTTTTCGCCATTTTGGGTCATTTCGATTTCAGTTTTTCGATTTTTCGGCTTCTCAACAGTTTGATTTCTGGATCTTTTGATGTTTTGCCTTTTCAATTTTTCGATTTCCCAATTTTTAGTCATTTAAAAATGTTTCAATTTGTTTATTCGATTCTTCGACTTTCAAATTTTTCGATTCTTCAATTTTTGGATATTTTAATTTTTAAATTATTTAAATTCTAGAATTTTCTAATTCTCGAGTTTTCGGAATTTCGATTTTTCCAATTTTTCGTCTCAGTTTTGAAATTTTGTTTTCTCGATTTTTCACTTTTTCAATTTTTCCAGATTTCAATGTTTGGATTGTTCTATTTTTTCTTTTTTATTTTACAGTTTTCAATTTTAACTTTTCGTTTTTTCAATTTTCGATTTTTCATTTTCCCAATTTTTCGTCATTTCAGTGCTGGGATTTTTCAATTCTACGATTTTTTGAATTTTCGTCTTTTCAATTTTTCGATGTTTTAATTTTTAGATTATTCAAAATTTCTATTTTTCAATTTATGGAATTTCTAAATTTTAAATTGATAGAGATATGGATTTTTCAATTTTTTTTTAATTCTACATTTTTCAATTTTTAACATTCCGTTTTTGCATTTCGATTTCTGGATCTTTTGATGTTTCGACTTTTCAGTTTTTTTTTCTGAAAATGAATACTATTGACCAATAAAAACACAATATAATGTGATCAATGTTTATTCCCTTACAATTCATACACTTCAATATTCATATTGTCTCTCTATGACATATCATCAATAAAATTATTAATTAAAACTACAAATATTAAATAGCGCATGATCACAGGATCAATTATATATAGAATAAAATTACAAAACCCCCATTTCTACTAGTTACTTCTTCAACCTGGAAGGTGGAACTTCGCTATTGAGCCACCTAAAAAAAATCCAACTTACTGCGCCATTCACGACACCACGTCAACAAAGCACCGAAAATGATACTTACATAGAACAACACAAAAATGTGATGTGTAGCGAAGCAAGCAAAAGCTATCTGCGATAATTTGGTTTGTGCATTGTATAGGACTGAACCTCCCTTGACAGTGAACTAGCCGAACTCCATCTAGACATCTACCAGAACCACAACACATAAACCACACCACCATGAATAATAAATTAAAAAAAAGTATATACAGTGTGAAGCACCATGCTTTTATTAAGAAAATCATGCATCATGCTGAAAACACAACCTTTCTTACTTATAATACACGTTTCAACTTTTGTTAAGTCTCCCCCTCTACGATCAAAAAACCACATTAATAATAATGAGTTGGATGAGTATGATAGGAGTGCGTCGTCCCTGGTCTTACCTGTGAGTTTTCCTCGAACGACATAGGCGGCGCCGGGGTGAGAAAATCCGTGGGGGCGTTGGGGTCGTTCACCGGCTGCGGCACGAAGAAATTCATTGGTTGGTGCGCTGCGGCCACGCCTCCGGGTCCGGGTGGGGGTAGCGAACCTTGTCCCGACTTAGCGTTCGGGTTGAACACGTCAATGTACGACTTTTTTAAATCTGAAACGACGCTACTGACTTGTGGAAGGTTCAATCATCTACTTACTTCTGTTTCGTTGCAGCTTGAACATATTCGGGGTGGCTTTTGGGATGTTCCCGTTTTCTTGTGGTTGTTCGGGAGTGGGGTTCCTGGGGAGCTGACCCATCGTGGGAAACGTGGGGGCGGGCATTTCTGACATTTTCGGGGGCGGCTTGAAATCAGAGCCGCCGTCGCCGCCGTCCTCGTCCGTGTTCACCCACCGCTTTTTATCGGGGTCCCACAGGATCTAACAATTTTGATTTGAGTAATAATGACGGTGATGGGTGATGGGTTACCGTGGGGTTTTTGTCGTCCGGGAGCTTCATCTGGTTTTTGGGTTTGAGCGACAGTTTGTTGAAAATTCCGCCAAACCAGCCGCTGGATTTGTCCGGGGTGGGTTCAATGGGTTTGGGTTTGACGGGCGGTTCCTTCCTGGGTGGTTCATTGGGTGGATCCGTGTCTTTTCTGTCGCGTTGATTGGGCAAAGATATTTGGGGTTGAGGTATATCCTGCGTAAAAGTACAGAGCGACAACTTATTATACTAAAACGATCGTGCCTGGACAATGAGCAACCCCTTCGCAATAAAAACCCCAAACATTTAACCATCTTTATTCAAAATAAAAACTGCAGTACATTCTAAAAAATAGTAAAGCATGCTTTATTTTTCGGTTACAAATCTACACCAAAGGCGTTACTATTAACAATTACAAACACAACAATTGTACATCCAACAACATATCTATTAGTTAGGCCCTTTACCAACAATTTAATCTACATAGTGATCACAAAATTAGCGTGGTCTTGCAACAGAAAACAAAGAACACGACCAGGAATGTAACTACGTTGCGAACAGTAACAATTAAATCGGTCTGTCGATGTCGAAAGTTTTCGGCGGACCATATTCCCTGAATTTCGGAACCACGTTTTTGACTTGTTTAATGTGCGTATCGGTAGCTTTCCCCACTTTGTTTAGCGGAACATCGATGGGGTAAGTCCCCCCGAAAACCAGCGGCTTGTACACCACCTCCTTCGCCGGTTTAGTGCTTTTAAAAATCGAGTTTTTGAGATTCGAAAACACATTCGACGAGCTTTTCTTCGCCCACGCGTCCACCGTATCCGTGATAATATCATGTTTGTGTCTCTTCTTGTCGAATTTCGTCATCTTAAAATCCGACCCGAAGTCTTGAGCCGCAATCGCGACATTACTATGAGAATCGTAATACTTAACTAAAGTCTCAGGGGCATCCAGCGACTTATACCTCACCACCGTCCCCTTCTTATCGTTAAATTTCATATCAAACGTGTTATATTTCGTTAGTTTCGAGTCGTTCTTAATCGCGATGATCTTCATATTGTCTTTGTAACAAATCAACTGCGACTTTTCCTCGTTCTTGTAGAAAAGCTTCTTCTTCGCGCGCATGCCCGACTCTAACTCTAAGTCCGAACTGTCGCGTGACAGACTCCTGTCGCTTATGAAATCCTCGGCGCTGCGGTTTTTGAACGGGTACACTTTCGTGTTTTTGCCGAACGCGGTTTTCGATCGCGTGTCCGTCACGCTATCTAGGGATTTCAGTTTTTCGTTTTTGGTTTGGGTTAGGCGCTTGCGCAAGGTCGTTGACGTGCTCGACTTGGATGAGGATGAGGCGTTAGTCAGACATGTACTTACTTCAGGGGTGTGTTTCTCGACCTGGTCTGGCTGCGTCCGAATAGGTACAGGGAACAAGAAAGCACACCTCAGTTACAATGAACGAGAAATGAGACCGGGTTTATTAATAAGCACCAAGCGACTGACGTCGATGGACATTGAGTTACGCAACTAGGGATTTTCGTCTTACCTTGCTCACTTTGACCAATAGCAAAAATACTAGTACATGATTGGGAAATTTGTCGATCGTCAAGACGAAAATTGAAATAACGTAAGTCCAATGGACTGTTTATGATTATCACACAAGCCCAAGCGTGACTTAAGTGACAAATCCACGCACGCTAACTCGGTTTAAGACAGGTTATGGCTTTTCCCCTACCTCGGTTTGAGCAATAGCACCGTAGTAATTTTGTTGTTGTTGTTGTGGTGGTGGTTGGTCTAGGGGCTCTGGGTGGTACGACTGAGCCTGCTCACCACTCCACTGCTGTTGACCCGGCCAGTACTGATGCGACTCTTGATAGTGACCTACAACACCCAATCACACAAATACGTCAAACAAAACTACTAACCATCTTGTTGTTGTTGTTGTTCAAGTTGTGGCTGACTGTCACTCTGTAACTCTAGTGGTTGATCAGGACTCCACGTCTGTTGCTGCTGCTGCTGTTGTTGTTGTTGTTGTTGTTGGTATGCGTCATATTGTTGCTGCTGTTGCCAGACGTCTTGATTTTGGGCATACGTTTGTTGTTCGCTTTGTGCGCTAGTAGCCACATTTTGCTGTTGGTGCACCAAACCCATCTTCAAAAATTAGTGCCAATTAAAATAATAATAATAATAATAGTGTGACGTTTACATTGTAGTCATTTTGTACCCGTCGCAGATCCTTCAACCACGAATTTTCCACCCTACTCGAGTCAAAATCCACTTCCACTTCGCCATCCCCCACCGGGTCATAATACTTCAACCTATCCGCTAACAAAGACACCTCGTTCACTAACCCAACGTCCACAACCCCTGGATTTTTCACAATAAAAGTGGCGATTTTCTCTAAATAAGATAAGGCTTTTTCTAGTAGACCAACGTCGGCGAGGCGGGTCGACAACAAGTATTTATAACGCTTGAGAAAAAAACAATACATTATTACCTACTTTATTAAAAAAAAAAATAATAACTTGTACCTGAAAATTCCCTAAACTAAACTCATCATCGTTCAAGCTCCGCGCATATTCATAAATCTCGGTCATGTGAATGGCCTCATTCGTCGCGAAATGCACGAACGACTTGTTATGGTTAGCCCCCAGTAGCACCAACTTAGCTTCGGCACTTCCGTACTGACTGAACCCTACTTCCGCCATCAGGTAGCAAAACTGAGCGGCATACAGACTCCCACGCCCCATTAACGTGTCCCCCAGAATCGTGATGGCCTTGCAGTTTAATTCCGGCCGCTGCGTGGAGTTGGACAGGATCATGGCGAGGTGTGGCCGCCAATCCCCCCACTTTTCATCCGCCACACACTAAAACCACCTGTTAGTAAAAGTCGGTACTAAAGCAATCTTCTTTACCGTTACGGCAGCCGGGGTTCGACCCGACAGCAACTGGTACAAAGTTTGCAGCGGGTCGTTCATCGTCAGCCCATTGGCGAAGCGCATCATGACGTTGGCGTACGTTCTCTTGTCTAATTTGCTAGCTAGGAATAAGGCGTGGCCCCAGAGACCGTGCTTCATGGCCCACTCTAAAGCTTCTTTTCCCGAGCCGTAGAGCAGATATTCCCGGAAGCGGTTAGTGACTTCTTCTTCTCTCAGGTTGGCAGCGGTTCCGTTGCTGGTTTCGGTGGCTTCGGACGGGTTGTCGGCGAGATTGCTACTGACGTTGGAGACGACGGAGGGGGGGCGCGGGGGCGCTTCTTGGCGGTTTTTCAACAAGAGTTCGGCTATGTCGGCGCCGACGACCATCTAAAATTTAAGTTTCGCGGTTATTTTGGCATTGACACTTTGACAGTTATCTACGGAATTTTTACTGTTAAAGTGGTGTATTTTGTTAATTGTTGCGCTAAATCAATCGGGATTTGAATTCCTGTAGTAGGCCATGAAATTTATTTTTCAACTATTAATGTAGGCTTTGACACTTTCTTTGACATTTATTTAGTCCTATTTTAGGGACTTTGTTTAACCCTGACTGTCAAAATTTACCACTTTAGACATGTTTTACATTTTTTGTTGTCGAAATAAGTCTACACATGTTAAGGAAAAAAAGGCAGAATGTAGCCCCCAGCCCCCCCCCCCCCCCCCCCCATCTCAATTGTGATGATTTTTTTTATTCGTTGTCAGATCGAGGGGGAGGATTTAATTGCAAAATCCATATTTGTCTACAAAAATTTACCTCGTCGTAAGCCGAGCGGCAGAGCTTAATTGTAAAATCTTTATTTTTCTACGAGAAATTACCATTTGAAATATATTCTTAAGTAATCGTGTTATACAAAGAAAATTAAAAGAGAAGCCCCACCCATCCGTCTCGATCTCAATCGTGATGAATTGTTCATTCGTTGTCAGACCGAGGGGCGGAGCGCAATTGCAAAATCGATATTTCCCTATACAAATTTACCATTTTAAATATGTTTTCAGTCTTTCTTGTGAAGAGTATGTATATTAAGAACAACAAAAAGGCAAAATATAAGCCCCGCCCACCCACCCTGTCTCAGTTGTGACGATTTTTCTTTATAGGTTGTGAGCAAGAAGGCGGAGTTTAATTGCAAAATTCCCATTTTTCTACGAGAAATAACCCTTTGAAAAATGTTCTTAAGTAAACGTATTGTTCAAAGAAAAGTTTTAAGCAAAAAAGAAAACCAAAATTAAGCTCCGCCCCTCGGCTCACGATGAATAAGAAAATTCATCGCAATTGAGATGGGGTGGGTGGGCGGGGTTTATATTTTGCCTTTTTCTCTTAATACACATTGTATTTTTTCAACAAGACGATACTCAGAAACATGTTTTTAATTTCTTGTAAAGAAACAAATATTTTGCAGTTAAGCTCAGCCCCTTTGGTTGACGGCGAATAAAAAAAATCATCACAATTTAGATAGGGCGGGTGGGCGGGCTAACATTTTGCCTTTCTGTTTTAATATGTGTGTAGACTTCTTTTCGCAACATGAAACTTAAAATGTATTTAAAATGAAAAAGAAATATCGATTTTACAATTAGGCTCCGCCCTATAATTGCAAAATCCATATTTCCTTGCAAAAATTAACCATGTTTTAAGTTTTTTGTTATGAAAATATGGCTATGTATATTAAGAAAAAAAAAATACAAAATATAAGCCCCGCCCACCCACTCTGTCTCAATTCTGATGACTTTTTTATTCGTCGTAAGCCGAGGGGCGGAGCTTAATTGTAAAACCTTATTTTTTTACGAGACATTACCATTTGAAATATGTTCTTAAGTAATCGTGTTATATAAAGAAAACTAAATGAATTAATTAAAAAAAAAAGAAAACCAAAGGAGAAGCCCCACCCATCCCTCTCGATCTCAGTCATGATGAATTTTTCATTCGTTGTCAGACCGAGGGGCGGAGCGTAATTACAAAATCGATATTTCCTTATACAAATTTATCATTTTAAACTTGTTTAAGTTTCTTGTTGTGGAAAGATGACTACACATATTAAGAAAAAAAGGCAAAATGTAGCCCCGCCCACCCGCCCTATCTCAATTGTGATCATTTTTTTATCCGTCGTGGGTCAAGAAGGCGGAGCTTAACTGCAAAATCCTTATTTCTCAACGAGAACTTAAAAACATGTTTTTGAGTATCGTCTTGTTCAAAGAATACTATCTATATTAAGAAAAAAATAGAGCCAAAGATTAGGCCCCACCCATACCCGCCCCGATCTAAATTCTCAATTGTGATGAATTTTTCATTCGTTGTCAGATCGAGGGGCGGCGTTTAATTGAAAAATCCATATTTGTCTACAAAAATTGACTATTTTAAACATGTTTTAAGTTTCTAAGAATAAAAAAAATCATCACAATTGAGATGGGGTGGGTGGGCGGGGTTTATATTTTGCCTTTTTCTCTTAATATACGTAGTATTCTTTGAACGACACAATACTCAAAAACATCTTTTTAATTTTGTGTAAGGAAAAGTACTTTGCAGTTAAGCTCCGCCCTCTTGGTTCACGACGAATCAAAAAAATCATCACAATGGCGATAGGGTGGGTGGGTGGGCATACTTTTTGTCTTTTTGTTTTAATATGTGTAAACTTCTTTTTACAACATGAAACTTAAAACGTGTTTAAAACGGAAAATTTGTATAAGGAAATATCGATTTTGGAATTAAGCTCCGCCCTATCATTGCAAAATCCATATTTCCTTGCAAAAATGTACAATTTTAACCATGTTTCAAGTTTCTTGTTGTGAAAATATGGCTATGTATATTAAGAAAAAACCTGTCTCGATTCTGATGACTTTTTTATTCGTTGTAAGCCGAGGGGCGGGGCTTAATTGTAAAATCCTTATTTTTTACGAGACATTACCATGTGAAATATGTTCTTAAGTGACCGTGTTATATAAAGAAAATTAAATGAATTAATTTAACAAAAAAATAAAAACAAAAGAGAAGCCCCACCATCCGTCTTGATCTCAATCGTGATGAATTTTTCATTCGTTGTCAGACCGAAGGGCGGAGCGTAATTACAAAATCGATATTTCCCTATACAAATTTACCATTTTAAACTTGTTTTAAGTTTCTTGTTGTGAAAAGATGACTACACATATTAAGAAACAAAGGCAGAATGTAGGCCCGCCCACCCGCCCTATCTCAATTGTGATGATTTTTTTTTATTCGTCGTGGATCAAGAAGGCGGAGCTTAACTGAAAAATCCTTATTTCTCAACGAGAAATTAAAACTACGTTTTTGAGTATCGTGTTCTTCAAAGAATACTGTGTATATTAAAAAAAAAAAGGCAAAGATTAGGCTCCACCCATACCCGCCCCGATCTCAATTCTCAATTGTGATGTATTTTTCATTCGTTGTCAAATCGAAGGGCGGGGTTTAATTGCAAAATCCATATTTGTCTACAAAAATTGACCATTTTAAACACGTTTTAAGTTTCTAAGAATAAAAAAAATCATCACAATCGAGATGGGGTGGTCGGTGGGCGGGGTTTATATTTTTCCTTTTTTTTTTCCTAATATACATAGTATTCTTTGAACAACACGATATTCAAAAACATATTTTTAATTTCTTGTAAATAAATAAGTATTTGCAGATAAGCTTCGCCCCCTCGGCTCACGACGAATAAAAAAATCATCCGAATTGAGATAGGGCGGGTGGGCGGGGCTTAAATGTTGCCTCATTGTTTCAATATGTGTAGACTTCTTTTCACAACAAGAAACTTAAAACATGTTTAAAATGGAAAATTTGTATGTATAAGGAAATATCGATTTCGTAATTAGGCTCCGCAAGGAAATCCATATTTCCTTGCAAACATGTACCATTTTAACTATGTTGTAAATTTCTTGTTGTGAAAAGATAACTATGTATATTAAGGAAAAAAAAAACAAATTATAAGCCCCGCCCACCCACCCTGTCTCAATTCTGATTATTTTTTTATTCGTCGTAAGCCAAGGGGGCGGAGCTTAACTGCAAAATCCTTATTTCTCAACGGGAAACTAAAAACATGTTTTTGAGTATCATTTTGTTCAAAGAATACTATCTACATTAAGAAAAAAATAGAGCCAAAGATTAGGCCCCACCCATACCCGCCCCGATCTAAATTCTCAATTGTGACGAATTTTTCATTCGTTGTTAGATCGAGGGGCGGCGTTTAATTGCAAAATCCATATTTGTCTACAAAAAATTCACCATTTTAAACATGTTTTAAGTGTCTAAGAATAAAAAAAATAATTACAATTGAGATGTGGTGGGTGGGCGGGGTTTATATTTAGCTTTTTTTTTTTTTAATATACATAGTATTCTTTGAACGACACAATATTCAAAAACATCTTTTTAATTCTGTGTAAGGAAAAGTATTTTGCAGTTAAGCTCCGTCCTCTTGGTTCACGACGAATCAAAAAAATCATCACAATGGCGATAGGGTGGGTGGGCGGGGCTTAAATGTTGCCTCTTTGTTTCAATATGTGTAGACTTCTTTTCACAACAAGAAACTTAAAACATGTTTAAAATGGAAAATTTGTATGCATAAGGAAATATCGATTTCCTTGCAAAAATGTACCATTTTAACAATGTTGTAAGTTTCTTGTTGTGAAAAGATTTTTTGTATTTGCAATTTGATTGGTTGAAAACCCAACGTCAACGGCGAATAGCAACGCCAGCGACAAGTTTATAAATCGGAATTTGAATTCCTGTAGTAGGCCATGAAATTTATTTTTCAACTAATAATGTTGGCATTGGCACTTTATTTGACAGTTTAACCCTGTCCGTCAAAGCGAGAAACGACAGCGCTAGTGTTGTTTTTCGTTATTTTACAATTCCGAGATTCAATAACTGGTAAAATCAACACAAAAATAAACAAAGTTAGTAGATGTTTGATTTGAAACTTAGGGACACAAATTCCCCATTAAATAAATTTTCATTAAACAGGCGATGAAATTTACTTTTTAACTAATAATGTTGGAATTGACACTTGATTTGACGTTATTTAGTACTAATTCAGGGACTTTGTTTAACCCTGAGTGTCAACGTGAAAAACGACAGTGCGTGTTGTGTTTTTACAAATTTCCGACCCAATAACTCTTAAAACAATAGTTTCCAGTGAACCTACCCCATTCTGTCTGATGAGCAAGATCAACAACTCCCACATGAGCACGTACGACTCCCTGTCCACAATATCCGCGCTGTGATTGGCCTCTTTGATTTTGCTTTCGCAGTACTCAATGATTGTCTTCTTGTGGGTGGTACCCTTGACCAGGGGTCCCGGAAACCGCTTCAGCTCCTGGTAATCCTCGTCGTTATTCAAAAGCGTCTCTAAGTTACACAGTTCCACGGTCGGCGCTTGTCCATCTAGAGGATAGTGGGGCAAAATTTTGACTAGTTTACCCGAAGTGATGGACGCTTTGATATGCGCAGTGGCGAACTTGGCGGGGGTTAAACGTTGCGCCGTCAGATGGGGGTCCTCGTAATTGACAGAGGCGTCGGTTTGGTCGAGCGTGCGCACGAAACTAGAAACGGACAAAAGTTAGTGCGTGCGGACGACGGTTGGTACCACTGAGTGACAGAGTTACTTAAGTACCACACAGAATGTTATTAGTGGGTTATGCGAAAGACGGTCTACTGCTAAGTCAGACCGGTCAATCCGGTGGCGGATTGGCCGTTCTAGATGAACAAGTAAAATCAAGCATGCAAGCAAATCAAGGAAAGCACGAAAATACGAAAACCCATCGCCCACTTGTGGTTAAATTTGGAACCCGAGATTCCACCAAACGGGAAAATTTAGAATAATCTCGCCAATTAATAGATAGATGCACTACAAAGATAGAGAGGTTACATGAACTGTCTTAAGAGGGTTTTGTGATCTCACCTAGAGTCATCCAGGCCATATTGGCCTGATATACTATGCGTTTGAGATCCTCTGTAGTAACCTCCTATGTGGGGCAAACTCGTTTGACTATAATAGCTCTGACGTGTATACCTGTATGGGATTTAAACCTTGAAAATTTCTAAGCAAAGAAAAGGTAGAGTGTGCGGACGATGTGTGAACTGTACAAGTTGTATTAACAATGTTGTTACAACGATGATGTGTGGCTGTGTATAAAATCGCAGCTTGTAAAGCCTTTGACCAAAACAAACCACTAAAATGAGAAAGACAATATACCTGTCTTTGGCTAGTTCGTCATTGGCTGAACTTCTACCGGAATGTACCGACGCTCGATCTTCGCCGCCGTACGGAGCCTCGCCGGACGCTTCTTGATAGTACTTGCGGTACCACTGGGCGTAGGCTTGCGGGTTAGTCTTGCGAAGATTCTCGTAGTAGTGGTATTGTTGGTAGTACTGACTGTAGATGTCGTAGCCGAAACCCTACAAAACACTCGGTACTACCACAAATACAGTGAAATTTTAGTACCTGCATGTAGGGATTGAACGGATCTCTGTGTCTCCTGTGACGATCCTTCTCCCTATGCCGCCTATCCCTTCTATCACGATCATGCCCTCGGTCCCGGAACGAATCGTGAATCGAATCCGACCTACTCGAAGCCCTCGACCTCGACTCGTTCTCATACTCTTCTTCGTACCTCCCGTAGTAGTAATCATTCTTCCTCGGGTCACGCCTATAATCATCCCTCCTCCGCCTGTCCTTATCTTTTTCCTTCTTCAAACTACTATACTTCCGATCGTACTCTCTCTCTTCCCGGTGTCGCCTTTCCTTGTCGCTGTAGTAATCCGTGTCTTCCTCGTACCGGCGATCTTTGTGTCTCCTCCTCTCGTAGCGCTTGTCCCTATAGTCATCCGGCGAGTACCGACTCCGCCTCTCCTCCTTCTCCCTATACCTCCTCTCTCTTCTCTCCGGCGACTTCACCCTCACTTCGCGCTCGCTATCCGTGCTCTCCTGTCTCCGCCCACTCCCCTCCGCACTATTCCCCTCGTCCTGATTCTCCCCCATCGTCAAATTCCTCACCGAATTGACCAACCCGCTCACGTCTTCATCCTGCATTTGCCCCTCCACCGAATCCCTCCGCCCCTTCTTCGGTTCAGACGTGTCTGCCCCGATCGTCTCCGATCGGTTGACCACAGTAGGCATGTCGGCTCCGATCGTAGCCGAGCGCTGCGTGTTCATCTCGGCGAACTCCGGCTCGGAGTCGCGCTGAGGCCGCAGACTCGACTCGGGAGAGCTCGACTCGCCCGGAATCATCCGACGCAGACCTTCCGGGGGTTCCACGGTCTCAGCCCCACCGACTGTCTGCCCAGGCACCATGCGACGCAACCCCGGGGGCGGCAGCGCGTCGTCTTGAGTCACAGTCTCAGGAACCTGATTATAATTATTCAAGTCGACGTCGGACAACTGCGCAGTCTCGAGGTACTGGTTGCGGTCGTTAATGGGGGCTTCGTTATTCTCGGCCCAGGGGGCGGCGGCGCTGGGGCTGATCTTGCGCGAAGCTTGGGAGGGAATGGGGTCAGGTTGCTCGGAGTTGTCGGGAAGGGTTTCCAAATTCACAGATTGTGTGTGGAAACCCGGCTGGAACACATTCAGAGGTCTTGTCTCCGGAGGGGTGACATTGCTACTTCGAAACTTATTTGCGGCTTTGTGTGACAACCCCGTGTTTCTCTTATAGGGGTTGCCTTTGTCGTCTGAAACTACCCCCAATGGAGGCGCCGCCGCGATATCCTGTACGTGCGACACGATTTCCTTATTTTCGAACAGGGACACCTCATTAGCCTCCTCCTTCACCTCCGGGATGTCTCCCGGGTTTCCTGGAGGAGGCTCTTGTCCCGAAATCGGCGAGTGGCTTATGGTTGAACTACGAGACAACATCCTGCTCTTATCACTTTCAGAGGTTTGTAAAATATCGTCTGAAGATTCCTGAGACATTTGAGACTCCACGGACCACTGCGGAGTGTCTAATTTATTGCGTTTGCCGGTCAGGCGGTCCACGGCGAGAGTCTTAGGCAGCTCCGCCTCACCCTCACTCTTAACTTTATTAGGAGATTTCCGATTATTCTCATCTAAGCTCCAATTCCACGCCTCGTCGGTCGTGAAGCTTTCAGTTACCACGTTCGTGGTGCTCGGGGTTTGTACATTTGAGTTGTCTTCGTCGCCCCAACCCCAGTTCGAGCTCCAGCCGTCACCTTCAGTTTGTGGTTGTGGCCCGTAGACGTTATTCTGAGCATTATATTGTTGATTATACTGCAAATTCCCGTACGGTTGCTGCGGGTACGTGGTGTTGTTCTGGTAGTACTCTGGATAGTGACCGTATTGGGCGTTCTGGTTGTAGGGTTGTTGATACGGCGGCTGCCAGTAGTTGGGTTTCGGGTCTTCCTTCGGGGGCTGGTTGTACCAGTTATCGTGGGGCTGCTGTTGCCACTGATTCTACAAACATATTGATGTAAAATTAGCGGAAAATCGTGTGCAAAAATTACCTCTTGATTGGAATGCTGATTAGGGTTGTACATCTGGACAGGGGGGTGGGTGGTGGCGGGCCCGGGGGCCGTCTGCCCTCGCTTTTTCACCCACGACATATCGGAAACTGCATACAAAGAAAATCAATTTATGCACAAGGTTCAGGAGCAACTTTCTCTCATTGACAGACAATTGATCACATAACCTAACTTTTCGGGAAAAGTACGCGAAACTCGGGTTAAGCGGAAACAAACATTGATTTTCCACCCGCGTTCACTATAAATTATTTCGCAGTTTAAAAATAAACACAAAAACGGGGATTAGGAGACAAACAACCCATAACATACGGTACAAAATTATCTGACAGATGTCAAAAAATCATGACCAGTTGGCAAAAGCAAATCCGGGCATTTTTCGCACACGAACGTCGTTTTAGACAACGAAACGAACAACAACTTAATTTTTCTATATTTACCGAAATTTTGGCAAGATGGTCTTGGAGGTTACGAAACTAACAAACACATTTTCACACACTTCACACTAGCTTTAACACACCATTCAACACTTTTGTTATAAATAATGAATAGAGCAACAATGTTAACAACAAAGTAAGTTAAGGGGACACGAAAAAGTACAAATATAATTTCTCTTTAACATGACATTCCATTACATTCATTCGTATTGTATCAACGGACGAAGAGTGTGTCTTTGTTCATCACACGCGAGTACGGGCTGCAGAAAAAGTGAGAAACGTTACGGGGGAAAGAAGCACAGGTGCCACTACCACTGTCTATCTTTGTTTGGTTGCTCGATTTTTATAATTCCGTCTTTTATTAAAAAAGTTGTTGCACGGCAGGTTGACGTATGTAAAAATTTAAGTTGAACGTTGACGTGGCGAAGAGGTGACAATCCACCAACATGAAATCACGAAAGTTGCTAGACAGAGGCGTCACAATGGAAACACAGGAACAAAAAGCCCCGATTATTAAAGCGAGTTTTTATTCTTATTTAAATGCGCTTTGTTGTTTTAATCGTTGTTTACGCCGTCAGAAACCAGTAGCGTCGTGTTGGCTTGCAATCACAATTTTAACATGACGTTATGGAAAATATAAACAGTGGCGGTTCGGTTTACGACTCATTTATTTTGATAAGGTGACATTTGAATTTTAAATATAAAACCATAAAGAATCGTAAAACTGAAACATGGAAAAATCGAAAAAATGTAAAATTCAAAAATCTAAAATTTATAAAATCGAATAACTGAAAAATCGAAACATCGAAAAATTGAGAGTTTATAAAAAAATATAGAAAATTTGACAAAATTACAATTGAAAAACATAAAATCTAAAACCGCGAAGTCGAAAAATCAAAAGATTAAGAAATCGAAACATTTGAAAAATTCGAAAACTTGAAAAATTGAAATATCGAAGAACTGAAATGAAAAATCGAGAAATCGAAATATCTAAAATTTTAAAAATTAAAAAATCTATAATTTTAAAACCGAAAAATTGAAAAATCGAAAAAGTAAAAAAATCGAAACATCGAAAAATCCAGGAGTCAAAAATCGAATCGTTTTTTTGATTTTCCCATTTCTCAATTTTTTGACTTTTCAGTGTTTCGATTTTTCAGTTTTTCAATGCAAGTTTTCAATTTCCATGTTTTCGTTTTTCCATTTTCGATTTTTCAAATTTTCTATTATTATTATTCGACTTCCATTTTAGACTTTTCGATTTCTCAATTTTTCGGTGTTTTAGTTTCGGCATTTTTCAATATTTCGATTCTTCAGTTTTTCAATTTTTCGATTTCTTGGTTTTTATTTTTTCGTTTTTTTAGTTTTTGGATTTAAAAATTTTTAGATTTTTCGCTTTTTTGTTTTGATTTGTAGATTTTTCAATTTTCAATGTTTCCAAATTTTAATTTTTCAGTTATGAAGACATTACATTTTTTGGTTTCTCTATTTTTCAAACATCAAATTTTAGATTTTGTTTCAATTTCTTGATCTTTCGATATTTTAACTTCTTGGTTCTAGATTTTTCAATTTTTCGATTTAAAATAAATTTTTCGGTGTTTCAATGTTTTAATTCATCCGTTTCTCGATTTTTCGATTCTTCAATTTTTCTATTTTTTCAGTTTTGACCTATTTCGATTTCTAAAATTTTCGATTTTTCTAGTTTTCGGCTATTCGGTTATTCGATTTTCCATTTTTTTGATTTTTCAATTTTTCAAATTCTCGATTTTTCAATTTTTCGATTGTTTCAATTTCGGATTTTCGATTATAAATTTTTGAAATTTCCATTTTTCGATTTTTTGAAGTACCGATTCTTCGAATTTTCAATTTTTCGAACATTAAATTTTAGATTTTGTTTCAATTTCTTGATCTTTCGATACTTCAACTTCTTGGTTCCAGATTTTTAAATTTTTCGAGTTTTAAAATAAATTTTTCGGTGTTTCAATGTTTTAATTGATCCGTTTCTCGATTTTTCGATTCTTCAATTTTTCTATTTTTTCAATTTTTACCTATTTCGATTTCTCAAATTTTCGATTTTTTTAGTTTTCGACTATTCGTTTATTCGATTTTCCATTTTTTTGATGTTTCAATTTTTCAAATTCTCGATTTTTCATTTTTTGATTTTTCAATTTTTCGATTGTTTCAATTTCCGAGTTTCGATTTCTCGGTTTTCCCTTTTTCAATTTTACAAATTTTAAATTTTTGAAATTTCCATTTTTCGATTTTTCAATTTTTCCATTATTCAATATTTCGCTACTTTAATTTTTCAATTTTTTTAATTTTAGACACTTCGATTTATCGATTTGTCGATTTTTCAGTTCCCCGATATATTTTTCAATGTGGCGGATTTTTAAATTTTTGATTTTTCAGTTTTTTGATGTTTCAATTTTTCGTTTTTACAATTTTTTAAGGTTTTGATTTTTTGACGATCCGGTTTTTCTACTTTTAAAATTTTTCAAATTTTTGGATTTTTCGATTTTTCAATTTTTCATACATATTTTAATTTTGACAACTTTTGCATTTCTGGATTTTTCAATTTTTCAATTTATAACTTTTATAAATGTTCATTTTTACGATTTCCTAATTTCTCAATTAATCGATTTTTTAATATCGCATTTCTCAATTTTTTGACTTTTCGGTGATTCGATTTTTCAATTTTTCAAATTTTCTATTATTCGACTTCCAGTTTTCGACTTTTCGATTTCTCAATTTGTCGATAAAATTTAAAAATCGAAAAAGTAAAAAAATCGACACATCGAATAATCCAGGAGTCAAAAATCTAATCGATTTTTTGATTTTCCCATTTCTCAATTTTTTGACTTTTCAGTGTTTCGAATTTTCAGTTTTTCAATTCAAATTTTCGAATTACCGGGTTTTTGTTTTTCCATTTTAGATTTTTCAAACTATGAGGCTTCTCTATGTTCTCTGATTTTAAAATGACGTTATTGAAAATATAAACAGTGGCGGCTCGCTTTACGACTCATTTATTTTGATAAGGTGACATTTGAATTTTAAATATAAAGCCATAAAAAATAGTAAAAATGAAACATTGAAAAATCGAAATATCCAAGAAATGAAAATCGAAAAATGAAACATCAGAAAATCGAAAAAATATAAAATTCAAAAATCTAAAATTTAAAAACCGAACAACGAAAAATCAAGAAATCGAAATGTGCAAATTTAAAAAATCGAATAACTGAAAAATCGAAACACCGGAAGACTGGAAAATCGAAAAACCGAGAAATCGAAAAATCAAAAGATCAAGAAATCGTGAACTTGAAAAGTGGAACAATTGAGAAACCGAAATAGGCCAAAATAAAAATCGAAAAACTGATAAATCTAAAACCTGAACAATCAAATCTCGATAAATCGGGAATGAAAAATTAACAAATCGAAAAATTGAAAAACAGACATCTAAAACCAGGAAGTCTAAAAATCGAAAGATTAAGAAATATTGAAAAATTAAAATTTCAAAAGATTGAAAAATCTAAAATTTAAAAATTCAAAAATTGAAAAATCGAAAAAGTAAAAAAATCGACACATCGAAAAATCCAGGAATCAAAAATCGAATCGATTTTTTGATTTTTCCATTTCTCAATTTTTTTACTTTTCAGTGTTTCGATTTTTCAGTTTTTCAATTCAAGTTTTCGAATTTCCGAATATTCGTTTTTCCTTTTTCGATTTTTCAAATTTTCAATTATTATTATTCGACTTCCATTTTTAGACTTTTCGATTTCTCAATTTTTCGGTGTTTTAGTTTTGGCATTTTTCAATATTTCGATTCTTCAGTTTTTCAATTTTTCGATTTCTCGGTTTTTATTTTTTCGCTTTATTAGTTTTTGGTTTTCAAAATTTCAGATTTTTCAATTTTTCGATTTTTTGTTTTGATTTGTCGAATTTTCAATTTTCAATTTTTCCAAATTTTAATTATTCAATTATGAAGACATTACATTTTTCAGTTTCTCTATTTTTCGATTTTTCCATTCTTTGATTTTTCTGTTTTTCAATTTTTCGAACATTAAATTTTAGATTTTGTTTCAATTTCTTGATCTTTCGATATTTCAACTTCTTGGTTCCAGATTTTTCAGTTTTTCGATTTTTAAAATAAATTTTTCGGTGTTTCAATGTTTTAATTGATCAGTTTCTCGATTTTTCGATTCTTCAATTTTTCTATTTTTTCAGTTTTGACCTATTTCGATTTCTCAAATTTTCGATTTTTCTAGTTTTCGGCTATTCGGTTATTCGATTTTCCATTTTTTTGATGCTTCAATTTTTCAAATTCTGGATTTTTCATTTTCTGATTTTTCAATTTTTCGATTGTTTCAATTTCGGATTTTAGATTTCTCGGTTTTCCCTTTCTCAATTTTAAATTTTTGAAATTTCCATTTTTCAATTTTTATCATTTTAGACATTTCGTTTTATCGATTTGTCGATTTTTCAGTTCTCCGATATATTTTTCAATGTTGCGGAATTTTAAATTTTTGATTTTTCAGTTTTTTGATGTTTCAATTTTTCGTTTTTACAATTTTTTAATGTTTTGATTTTTTGACGATCCGGTTTTTCTACTTTTTTCAAATTTTTGGATTTTTCGATTTCTCAATTTTTCAATACATATTTTAATTTTGACAACTTTTGCATTTCTGGATTTTTCTATTTTTCAGTTTAAAAGTTTTCTAAATGTTCATTTTTTCGATTTCCTAATTTCTCAATTAATCGATTGTTTTATTATCCCATTTCTCAATTGTTTGACTTTTCAGTGGTTCGATGTTTCAGTTTTTCAATTAAATGTTTTGAATTTTCGTGTTATCGTTTTTCCATTTTTCAATTTTTCAAATTTTTTATTATTCGGCTTCCAATTTTCGACTTTTCCATTTCTCAATTTGTTGATAAAATTTAAAAATCGAAAAATTGAAAAATCGAAAAAGTAAAAAAATCGACACATCGAAAACTCCAGAAGCCAAAAATCAAAAAATCGAAGGATCGAAATATTGAAAAATCCCAAAACTGAAATATCGAAAAACTGAAAAATTAAAGAAAAACGGAAAAATGGAAAACCTGAAAAATCTGAAAACTGAAATATCCAAAAAGTGAAGTCGAAAAAGCGAAACTAAAAAAATTAAAAAATAAAAAGTCAAAAACCTGAAAAATAAAAAATTAAAGAATTGAAGAAACGGGAAAATCAAAATAAAGATTAATTGAAAAATCGAAAAATTGAGAGTTTATAAAAGTCAAATTTGGAAAATTAAAACATCGAAAATTTGACAAAATGGCAATTTAAAAACATAAAATCCAAAACCGAGAAGTCAAAAAATCAAAAGATTAAGAAATCGAAACATTTGAAAAATTCGAAAACTTGAAAAATTCAAATATGGAAGAACTGAAATGAAAAATAGAGAAATCGAAATATCTAAAATTTTAAAAATTAAAAAATCTACAATTCAAAAATCGAAAAAGTAAAAAAATCGACACATCGAAAAATCCAGGAGTCAAAAATCCAATCGATTTTTTGATTTTCCCATTTCTCAATTTTTTTTACTTTTCAGTGTTTCGATTTTTCAATTCAAGTTTTCGAATTTCCGGGTTTTCGTTTTTCCATTTTCGATTTTTCAAATTTTCTATTATTATTCGACTTCCATTTTTTGACTTTTCGATTTCTCAATTTTTCGGTGTTTTAGTTTGGGCATTTTTCAATATTTCGATTCTTCAGTTTTTCAATTTTTCGACTTTTCGATTTTTCGGTTTCTCGGTTTTTGTTTTTTCGTTTTTTCAGTTTTTGGATTTTAAAATCTTAGATTTTTCAATTTTTCGATTTTTTGTTATGATTTGTCAATTTTTCAATTTTCAATTTTTCCAAATTTTAATTTTTCAATTATGAAGACATTCCATTTTTCGGTTTCTCTATTTTTCGATTTTTCAGTTCTTTGATTTTTCTGTTTTTCAATTTTTCGAACATTAAATTTTAGATTTTGTTTCAATTTCTTGATCTTTCGATATTTCAACTTCTTGGCTCCAGATTTTTCAATTTTTCGAGTTTTAAAATAAATTTTTCGGTGTTTCAATGTTTTAATTGATCAGTTTCTCGATTTTTCGATTCTTCAATTTTTCTATTTTTTCAATTTTTACCTATTTCGATTTCTCAAATTTTCGATTTTTTTAGTTTTCGGCTATTCGTTTATTCGATTTTCCATTTTTTTGATGTTTCAATTTTTCAAATTCTCGATTTTTCATTTTTTGATTTTTCAATTTTTCGATTGTTTCAATTTCCGAGTTTCGATTTCTCGGTTTTCCCTTTTTCAATTTTACAAATTTTAAATTTTTGAAATTTCCATTTTTCGATTTTTCAATTTTTCAATTATTCAATATTTCGCTACTTTAATTTTTCAATTTTTTTAATTTTAGACATTTCTATTTATCGATTTGTCGATTTTTCAGTTCTCCGATATATTTTTCAATGTGGCGGATTTTTAAATTTTTTATTTTTCAGTTTTTTGATGTTTCAATTTTTCGTTTTTACAATTTTTTAAGGTTTTGATTTTTTGACGACCCGGTTTTTCTACTTTTAAAATTTTTCAAATTTTTGGATTTTTCGATTTTTCAATTTTTCATACATATTTTAATTTTGACAACTTTTGCATTTCTGGATTTTTCAATTTTTCAATTTATAACGTTTATAAATGTTCATTTTTTCGATTTCCTAATTTCTCAATTAATCGATTTTTTTAATATCGCATTTCTCAATTTTTTTACTTTTCAGTGGTTCGATTTTTCAATTTTTCAAATTTTCTATTATTCGACTTCCAGTTTTCGACTTTTCGATTTCTCAATTTGTCGATAAAATTTAAAAATCGAAAAAGTAAAAAAATCGATTTCGATTTTTCAGTTTTTCAATTCAAGTTTTCGAATTTCCGAATTTTCGTTTTTCCATTTTCGATTTTTCAAATTTTCAATTATTATTATTCGACTTCCATTTTTAGACTTTTCGATTTCTCAATTTTTCGGTGTTTTAGTTTCGGCATTTTTCAATATTTCGATTCTTCAGTTATTCAATTCTTCGACTTTTCGATTTCTCGGTTTGTATTTTTTCGTTTTTTTAGTTCTTGGATTTTAAAATTGTAGATTTTTCAATTTTTCGATTTTTTGTTTTGATTTGTCGATTTTTCAATTTTCAGTTTTTCAAAATTTTAATTTTTCAATTATGAAGACGTTACATTTTTCGGTTTCTCTATTTTTCGATTTTTCAGTTCTTTGATTTTCCTGTTTTTCAATTTTTCGAACATTAAATTTTAGATTTTGTTTCAATTTCTTGATCTTTCGATATTTCAACTTCTTGGTTCTAGCTTTTTCAATTTTTCGATTTTTAAAATAAATTTTTCGGTGTTTCAATATTTTAATTGATCCGTTTCTCGATTTTTCGATTCTTCAATTTTTCAATTTTTTCAGTTTTGACCTATTCGATTTCTCAAATTTTCGATTTTTCTAGTTTTCGGCTATTCGGTTATTCGATTTTTCATTTTTTTGATGTTCAATTCTTCAAATTCTCGATTTTTCAATTTTTCGATTGTTTCAATTTCGGATTTTCGATTTCTCGATTTTCCCTTTTTCAATTTTACAATTTTAAATTTTTTAAATTTCCATTTTTCGATTTTTTGAAGCATCGATTCCTTTTGAGTGGTTCGCTTTTTCAGTTTTTCAATTAAATGTTTTGAGTTTTCGTGTTATCGTTTTTCCATTTTCCAATTTTTCAAATTTTCTATTATTCGACTTTCAGTTTTCGACTTTTCGATTTCTCAATTTGTCGATAAAATTTAAAAATCGAAAAATTGAAAAATCGAAAAAGTAAAAAAATCGACACATCGAAAAATCCATGAGTCAAAAATCGAAAAGTTGAAGAACAGAAATATTGAAAAATCCCAAAACTGAAAATCCAAAAACCGAAAAATGAAAGAAAAATTGACAAATCAAAAAACTGAAAAATCCCAAAATTAAAAATTGAAAAATTTAGAAATCAAAAAATCAAAAAAATTAAGTTTTGTCAATTGTCAATTTGTCGAAAGTAAAACGTAAAAAAAATATGATGATATTTTTTTTAGTTAATTTTATTCCTAGTTAGAAACAAACACTGTTGCCAACATAAGTCGAGGAGTGCTCAACTCATTTAATTTAAACGCCTCTCTATGTTCAATGATTAGGTGCTGTAAAACTAACAAGCGGCAACAAATTTGCTTCCGTAGTAAAAACCCGAGACAAAGTGTGCGGCATTTTTTACTTTGTAAGTTCGACTAAGCAAGCACTAAGTAATTTCCAAAGGGTACCAACACCCACGAAGTACAACAAAGCCAACACTGCATGATGCGCAAATATTAACCTAAAAATCGACACATTAAGTTACAAAACTCAAAAATGTTTCGTTTTCACCTGATTGCCTTAACTTTAGCACTTGGAAGATTATCCCACGGTTCTTTAACCAAATACGACCTTAATCCTCTAAAATACGAATGGAAATAGTGTGTCCAGTGTACTGTTGCGATGTCAAACGGAAATATAGTTTTATCGGTTTCATTCAAACAATCCCAGAGTTCTTTCACATTCGTGTTTGTAAAAGTCCAGTCGCGTATATAGGAACACTCCCCGTGGTACTTCAGTTTGTGAAAGCGTCTATAATTCGATACTAAGGTGGGTTTCTTGAAACATAATAACGAAATCACGTCCATGAAAAATCCCGGAATATAATGGTAAGCTATACTGAAGAAAAAATTTGTGAGCTTGGTTTGTGGAACACTGGTTATGGTTGGCATCCAGAAACACTTGGATAGTGGGTAGAACTCCCCGTATACGTTAATGTTAAGGCGGATGAATTCGCCACAAGTTATGGGGTTGTCTGGAGATGAAACGTAGTTATAGATGGGTATGGTTTTTCTGGAAATGATGGGTACGTTTTGGTAGTTTCGGTGTACATCCCAAGCACTTGCAATCAGTGCTGCCACCGCCATGTCCCCTGGTACTATATCTAGGTTATTGGCAAAGTCACAACAAATGTACCTACTGAAACCTAGTGCCATATTGATTATAAAAAGTGTAGGTCCTCCGAAACTGTCAGTCCAACCTGGAAGCGGATCCTTGTGTGTGCAAAGAACTAAAAACTGCTTATAAATTCGCAATTTTTGCACTAGATACAAGTACCAATCGATGGCCGAAAAATCCCAACGGGGAGGTCTTTAGCGGTATCGTCAATCAGAAGCTCTGCCATAGCTTTAGAAAACTCATAAGTATTTGACCACTTTTCCAGAACTCTATGTTAAGTCGTAAAAATTAATTTAACTTAGTTATATTTGGGTTAGTACCTTTTAGTAAATTTTTCTTTCGTTTCAGGACTGTTGACAAGCAATTCGACTTTTCGGTGGTCGAAACCCACGTCATCGTACACTGTTTCGTCGATGGAGGGGAGATAACTGTTACTATACGCAGTGGACACGTAAACTAGTGCCTGAAAATGTATTAAACGCGTAAGAGAGAGACAGATATATTAGTACTCTCTAGAGACATACCTTTAAATTGTACATTTGCTTACACAACTTGATAACTTGCTTAGTAACACCTACGTTGTTGTCGTAAGCAACTTTAATGTCGTTGAAGAAGTGCACGTTTGCGGCTACGTGAAAAACCACGTTAATTGTGGATATGAGTTCGTGATGGTCACTCATAGATAGACCCAAATTGGCACCACTACTCTCCACGACCTTAACTCTTTCCATAAAAGTAGGATCTTGGCTCCTCACTTTGTCAAAAATCTAGCAACACATATATGTTAAAAAATCGTGATTAGCAATTAATCACGTACTTCTTTTCTGAACAGTTCTTCACACCGCGTGCGGACGTCTTTTCCTTTTTTAGGTCGGATCAAAAGATAGATGGCTGCGACTTTCGTGCTTCTTAGTAATTTTTCGATTAGGAGTTTCCCGATGAACCCGGTGCCCCCGGTAATGAAAACGTGTTGTCCTTCGTAGAATTTGCATATCTCAGAGTCGGATAAATTCGCCTAATTACAATTTTATGTTTGGAAGCTACTATATACTCTAGAGCTTACCATGTTTGGATATTCGTACCGACTGTCAAGTTTTCTAACAACGTTTTAAATGTTCATGAAAATTTGAATGTAAAATTGTCTCGACTTTTAGCGACCGAATATGCAATAAGGTGTGGACTACTTAATGCACAAACGACTTTGACGGACGAATATCTAAAAAAGCGCGTTATTACGCATATAACTGTGTTAATAGCGATGACTAGTGCGTTTTTTTTTTTTACAAATTTTACTACTTTATGTTAAATAACCGAATTTTATGGAAGTTGTTTTAATGGATAAATGAACAACATTTACATTTTTGGGTAAAATTAATCATTGGAATTGTCACTGATATATTACTTTTACGATTAAGTCTAAATAGTTTGCATTATATTTAAAATTCAAATGTCATCTTATCAAAATAAATAAGTCGTAAAGCGAGCCGCCACTGTTTATATTTTCAATAATTCATAGTTTAAATTGACACTAGATTTACCAGAATATTACAAGCTGCTTACTGTTTCGTTCACTTTAATTCAAGTCGCACGAATTACAGTTCGCCGTCTGAGAACTTGTTTGATCTAAAGACCAGAGCGCAATCAGGCCAATGTCGACTCTAAGCGTTCGGAAACGATTTGATTTATAAGTCATGGTCCGTGAACTGATACACATCCTAACCGGTTTCGACCATAATATCTGCTGTTTCAACTTTGGAATTATCAGTTTTTCGAAATTTTAATTTGGGGAATTTTCAGTTTACTCAATTTTCAATTTTTGGATTTTACAATTTCTCGGTTTTTATTTTTTCGTTTTTTTAGTTTTTGGAATTTTTGTTTTGATTTGTCGAATTTTCAATTTTCAATTTTTCCAAATTTTAATTATTCAATTACATTTTTCGGTTTCTCTCTTTTTCGATTTTTCAGTTCTTTGATTTTTCTGTTTTTCAATTTTTCGAACATCAAATTTTTGGACTTTTCGATTTTTCAATTTTTCATACATATTTTAATTTTGACAACTTTTGCATTTCTGGATTTTTCAATTTTTCAGTTTATAACGTTTCTAAATGTTCATATTTACAATTTCCTAATTTCTCAATTAACCGATTTTTTATTATCCCATTTCTCATTTTTTTGACTTTTCAGTGGTTCGATTTTTCAGTTTTTCAATTAAATGTTTTGAATTTTCGTGTTATCGCTTTACCATTTTTCAATTTTTCAAATTTTCTATTATTCAACTTCCAGTTTTTGAATTTTCGATTTCTCAGTTTGTCGATAGAATTTAAAAATCGAAAAATTGAATAATCGAAAAAGTAAAAAAATCGACACATCGAAAAATCCAGGAATCAAAAATCGAAAAGTCGAAGAATCGAAATATTGAAAAATCCCAAAACTGAAATATCGAAAAACTGAAAAATGAAAGAAAAACTAAAAATGGAAAACCTGAAAAATCTGAAAACTGAAATATCCAAAAAGTGAAGTCGAAAAATCGAAACTTTAAAAAAAACTAAAAAATAAAAAATCAAAAACCTGAAAAATCGAAAAATTAAAGAATTAAAGAACAGGAATATCGAAACCCTCGAATGTCAAGAAATGGGAAAATCGAAACATCGATTAATTGAAAAATCGAAAAATTGACAGTTTATAAATGTCAAATTTGAAAAACTGAAATATCAAAGAACTGAAATGAAAAATCGAGAAATCGAAAAATCTAAAATTTTAAAAATTAAAGAATCTAAAATTTAAAAATCGAACAAGTAAAAAAATCGACACATCGAAAAATCCAGGAGTCAAAAACCCAATCGATTTTTTGATTTTCCCATTTCTCAATTTTTTGACTTTTCAGTGTTTCGATTTTTCAGTTTTTCAATTCAAATTTTCGAATTTCCGGGTTTTCGTTTTTCCATTTTCGATTTTTCAAACTATGAGGCTTCTCTATGTTCTCTGATTTTAAAATGACGTTATTGAAAATATAAACAGTGGCGGCTCGCTTTACGACTCATTTATTTTGATAAGGTGACATTTGAATTTTAAATATAAAGCCATAAAAAATAGTCAAAATGAAACATTGAAAAATCGAAATATCGAAGAAATGAAAATCGAAAAAATATAAAATTCAAAAATCTAAATTTTAAAAACCGAACAACGAAAAATCGAGAAATCGAAACGTGCAAATTTAAAAAATCGAAACACCGAAAGACTGGAAAATCGAAAAACCGAGAAATCGAAAAATCAAAAGATCAAGAAATCGTGAAGTTGAAAAGAATTGAGAAACCGAAATACGCCAAAATCGAAAAGTTAAAAATTGAACAATTTATAAATTGAAAAATATCGAAAAATCCAAATCTCGATAAATCGAGAAATCAAAAAACGAAAAACCGGAAACTGGAAAAACTGAGAAACCGAAATAGGCCAAAATAAAAATCGAAAAACTGATAAATCTAAAACCTGAACAATCAAATCTCGATAAATCGGGAATGAAAAATTAACAAATCGAAAAATTGAAAAACAGACATCTAAAACCAGGAAGTCTAAAAATCGAAAGATTAAGAAATATTGAAAAATTAAAATATCAAAAGATTGAAAAATCTAAAATTTAAAAATTCAAAAATTCAAAAATCGAAAAAGTAAAAAAATCGACACATTGAAAAATCCAGGAGCCAAAAATCGAATCGATATTTTGATTTTCCCATTTCTCAATTTTTTGACTTTTCAGTGCTTCGATTTTTCGGTTTTTCATTTCAAGTTTTCGAATTTCCGGGTTTTCGTTTTTCCATTTTCGATTTTTCAAATTTTCTATTATTATTATTCGACTTCCATTTTTAGACTTTTCGATTTCTCAATTTTTCGGTGTTTTAGTTTCGGTATTTTTCAATATTTCGATTCTTCAGTTTCTCAATTCTTCGACTTTTCGATTTTTCGATTTCTCGGTTTGTATTTTTTCGTTTTTTTAGTTTTTGGATTTTAAAATTTTAGATTTTTCAATTTTTCGATTTTTTGTTTTGATTTGTCGATTTTTCAATTTATAGTTTTTCCAAATTTTAATTTTTCAATTATGAAGACGTTACATTTTTCGGTTTCTCTCTTTTTCGATTTTTCAGTTCTTTGATTTTTCTGTTTTTCAATTTTTCGAACATCAAATTTTAGATTTTGTTTCAATTTCTTGATCTTTCGATATTTCAACTTCTTGGTTCTAGATTTTTCAATTTTTCGATTTTTAAAATCAATTTTTCGGTGTTTCAATGTTTTAATTGATCCGTTTCTCGATTTTTCGATTCTTCAATTTTCCTATTTTTACAGTTTTGACTTATTTCGATTTCTCAAATTTTCGATTTTTCTAGTTTTCGGCTATTCGGTTATTCGATTTTTCAATTTTTTGATGTTTCAGTTCTTCAAATTCTCGATTTTTCAATTTTTCGTTTGTTTCAATTTCGGATTTTCGATTTCTCGGTTTTCCCTTTTTCAATTTTAGAAATTTAAAATTTTTGAAATTTCCATTTTTCGATTTTTTGAAGCATCGATTCCTCGATTTTTCAATTTTTCTATTATTCAATATTTCGCTACTTTAATTTTTCAATTTTTTATTTTTAGACATTTCGATTTATCGGTTTGTTGATTTTTCAGTTCTCCAATATATTTTTCAATGTTGCGGATTTTTAAATTTTTAATTTTTCAGTTTTTTGATGTTTCAATTTCTCGTTTTTACAATTTTTTAATGTTTCGATTTTTTGACGATCCGGTTTTTCTACTTTTAAAATTTTTAAAATTTTTGGATTTTTCGATTTCTCAATTTTTTAATACATAGTTTAATTTTGACAACCTTTGCATTTCTGGATTTTTCAATTTTTCAGTTTATAACGTTTCTAAATGTTCATATTTACAATTTCCTAATTTCTCAATTAATCGATTTTTTATTATCCCATTTCTCATTTTTTTGACTTTTCAGTGGTTCGATTTTTCAGTTTTTCAATTAAATGTTTTGAATTTTCGTGTTATCGCTTTACCATTTTTCAATTTTTCAAATTTTCTATTATTCGACCTCCAGTTTTTGACTTTTCGATTTCTCAGTTTGTCGATAGAATTTAAAAATCGAAAAATTGAATAATCGAAAAAGTAAAAAAATCGACACATCGAAAAATCCAGGAGTCAAAAATCGAAAAGTCGAAGAATCGAAATATTGAAAAATCCCAAAACTGAAATATCGAAAAACTGAAAAATTAAAGAAAAACTAAAAATGGAAAACCTGAAAAATCTGATAACTGAAATATCCAAAAAGTGAAGTCGAAAAATCGAAACTTTAAAAAAAACTAAAAAATTAAAAAATCAAAAACCTGAAAAATCGAAAAATTAAAGAATTAAAGAACAGAAATATCGAAACCCTCGAATGTCAAGAAATTGGAAAATCTAAACATCGATTAATTGAAAAATCGAAAAATTGACAGTTTATAAATGTCAAATTTGAAAAACTGAAATATCAAAGAACTGAAATGAAAAATCGAGAAATCGAAAAATAAAAAATTTTAAAAATTAAAGAATCTAAAATTTAAAAATCGAACAAGTAACAAAAACCGACACATCGAAAAATCCAGGAGTCAAAAACCGAATCGATTTTTTGATTTTCCCATTTCTCAATTTTTTGACTTTTCAGTGTTTCGATTTTTCAGTTTTTCAATTCAAATTTTCGAATTTCCGGGTTTTCGTTTTTCCATTTTCGATTTTTCAAATTTTCTATTCTTTTTATACGACTTCCATTTTTAGATTTTCGATTTCTCAATTTTTCGGTGTTTTAGTTTCGGCATTTTTCAATATTTCGATTCTTCAGTTTTTCAATTTTGGATTTTAAAATTTTTTCAATTTTTCGATTTTTTGTTTTGATCTGTCGTTTTTTCAATTTTAAATTTTTCCAAATTTTAATTTTTTAATTATGAAGACATTACATTTTTCGGTTTCTCTATTTTTCGATTTTTCAGTTCTTTGATTTATCTGTTTTTTAATTTTTCGAACAATAAATTTTAGATTTTGTTTAAATTTCGTGATCTTTCGATATTTCAAATTCTTGGTTCTAGATTTTTCTATTTTTCGATTTTTAAAATAAATTTTTCGGTGTTTCAATGTTTTAATTGAT